TATATATATATATATATATATAAATGAAACATGTTTGTTTTTTATTTTTTTTTTGTAATTCAGTATTTTTTAAGTTTCCAGGTCATGCGTCAGATAATAAACTCAAGGCTACATTACCGTGTTAACATGCTTTTCAATCCTTCCTGCACATTTTAAAAAAAATAAACTTTGCTTTAAACTGTTGTGTGCTTGGAAAAATATAAATTGTAATGTTAAAAATCTAAAAAAAAAAACTTGACAGGTTAAAAACTTAAGATAAATCACAAGACAGAAGTCAATGTCACAAATAAATAACTTTTATTTTAGAGTCACGGTATGTTTATACAAGATAATACTATTGATATAATGTGACTTTTCTAGAGGAACATTATACATAGTTATTTTATACAGGGTTTCCACAGTCTTACATAAATTCAGAATTCTCTGACTTTTAACTGACTAAGGATTAGTTTTCCCTGACAAAATAAATGCAGCAACAAGACAATAATAATAACATAACAGGTCACCAATTTAACATGTTTAGCTCTATAACATTTAAATGCACCTCTCCAATGATTAAGAGAAAAATTTAATGAACATTTTTTTAAAGTATGGCCTGCACCACTGTACAAAAGACTGCCATATGAAAGATCTTTCTAGCTTGTTTGTCGTTTTGGTAACTACATCAAAATTACCGCTAGGTGGACAAAAATCACGCCATCTGGCGGAAAATCACCCGGCCATTTCAAATCACGCGCCTTTTTCAAATCATGTGATATGTGTACAAAGCAACAAAAATGGTGCCGGCAACCCTTCTGGGTCGTTTTCATCGAATGTCGTTAATTTTATAGTAATTTTGAGTGATAAAAAAACTTTTTTTTTTTGCGATCATTGCACTTACCCAGCAGGCAAATGCAATGAAATTTGTACTCTCCCGACAATAAAAACTACATGCCCCGGGCGATCGGGCAATGGTTAACATCGAGCCCTGGCTTTATTTGTCATTTCTGATTCATATAATCTAATCCAGAATGACATTTGGTTCATCCATAGTTAATCCCACATAGAATAAAATAACATTATCTAAACGAAAAATTATGTTTAAGAAAGAGCAAAGAAATCAAATAATTATCCTGAAGCCGCTGTTCTGTTAGATTGGGTCAGAGAGAACAAGCTGCCAGAGTCAGTTGGATTTCAGTTGTATTTGTACTTTACTTAAATAATCATTTTTCAGAATAGTTTTTAATTTTACTCCCCACATTTTAAGACAAATACTTGGAATATTTAATTTATAGGTTTAATTTCAACAGTCAAAGGCAGTTCTAAACAAATGGGTTTTTAACTGTGACTTTAAAGAACTCAAGCTTTCAGCACCTTTACAGGCTCCTTAGAGTTTGCTCCAGATCAGTGGAGCATAGGAACTAAATGCTGCTTCTCCATGTTAGGTTCTAGTTGTAGTTGTACAGATTAGGCTGGAACTAAAATGCCTGAGCGGTCTGGGAGGTTAATACACTGACAACAGGTCTGTTATTGATTTAGATGCTGATCCATTAAGTGATTTATAGACTAACAGAAGTGGTTTAAAGTCTATAAAGTCTTTAAAGCCTGAAAAAAGGGGAGGGATTATGTCCTCATACTTTGCAGATTCAATGAAGGATATTTTAAGGTATTTCATATATATGCTAGAGGAGAATATTCTAGATCAAGCACAAAAATAGAAGGTTAACAACTAGAAATATGTCACATTTTACATTGGAAAGGAAGACCTACTCTTTTTGCAACATACTGTATTATGTACTATTTAAACAAGAGAGGGTCCATGTATGGGTAGAGAGGGTCTGATAAACAGCAGTGGCCATGGAGTCATGCTTTCACTCCTATTTATACTAAGGGTAACACCCTCTTTGAACTCGTCTCTCAAAGTTTAATGTTTCAGCATCACCCCACAGACCACAACATGTCCCACTAAGGTAACAGTAAAGAGTGGAGTGGAGTTTCGCAGATCAGCTGGTCCGATTGCCTGCAGCCTCTCAGACCCGGATGCTCTGAGACCAATTTTGACGGTTCTGATCTGGAATCTGATTGCCAGGATAAATTTCAACTAAAAGTAATATTAGTCTTCCAGATCAGTTCTCCTTGATCCAGGACTGTTTTAATTAAAAACAAGTCATCTGTCAAGCAAGCAGCAGTTGATGCTGCTTGTGTTGTTCTGATTCTGGGTTGTGCTGCAGCTCTGCCCTTTGTCTAGGACAGATTTCTACCAGAAGAAAACTAATGAACACACCTTGATCTGAACCTTCACAAGTCATCAGAACATGTTCCAGTCGTGCTTGGATTACCTCTTTATTCTTTCAATCAGTTTCAGTGGATCAAATGTTAGACATCAGTTCATCATGTTTCTGGGACTTTTATATTCACTCAAATACATTTTTGTTATTTATTTGTTCTTATGTCAGTTTTAACCTGCATCCTATTGAATTCAGTTAAAATCTTCTATTCTTTATTTAGATTGTTTGACTGCAAAATGTCAGAGATCAGTTGGGCTTCTCTGGGCTCAGCTCTGAAGTCTAAAGCATCACATCTGACAGAGCTGGACCTAAGTGGAACTGATCTGAACCCTGGAATGAATGAGCTCAGTGGGTTTCTCCAGTCTCCCATCTGCAAACTACAGACCTTGAGGTCAGACGTAGTATATTTGTTAAGGTTCAGATCTGATAAACTCTATCTACCATTTTTGTTTAATCTTAACTAAAATTAAATGTCATGCAATCTGTCTTCAATTCCCCAAGATCTGTGTCTCTGATTTATCCTGCCTCTAAAATGTGTGTATGCCCTATGGATGGGTCAGAGGTAGGGCTGTGGGATAGAGCTGAAAAATGGATTACCACCTGTGTCGCTCATTTTCGTCTATCACTAAGATTTGATTTGATTTTAGCTTGATCTGTTTGAAGTAAGGTCCAGGGAACAGCATCCAAATGTAAATGTAAGTCCTAACCCTATTCCAACATGCCCTCTGACCTTTATAAATAGGTCAGCAAAAAATAAATAAATAAAATAAAATGGGGTTAAACTGAAAAGGTTAAATTTTTCACATTCATGAAAATGCCTTAAATTATTTGTCAATTTTTATCCCCATGGTGTCAAAAATGGTATCGAGTATCAAATGTTTGCTTGGAGTTTGATATTTTAGTCTGGCAATCTGAGGCTGAAGGTCCATAATTAGGGTTTCTTTATGGAAACACAATCGTATCAAGCATTCCTTCATTCCTCCTCCATTCTAACCAGGAACTGACAGATTTCAGGAGCTGAACGATACCCAGATAAATACTAGGATGAATTTGAAGATTCAGGAGTGTGTTCAGCATTGTGTGGCAGCCCTGCCCTTTTTCCAACAAAAATTCCCCTGGAGGAAACTAAGAAACACACCTTGATCAGGACCTTCACATGTCATCAAAATATGTTCTGTTTCCGCTTGGTTTAACTCTTTCAATCAATTTAAATGGATCATACATAGGACATCAGTTCATTGTGTTTCTGAGACTTTTACATTTGGTCAATTTCATTTTCTACATTTTGATTATTTGTTTTTTCATATGTCAATTTTAATCTGCATCATATTGAATTCACCTAAAAAAAATGTATTCTTTATTCAGATTGTTTGACTGCAAATTCTCAGACAGAAGCTGGGCTTTTCTAGGCTCAGCTCTGAAGTCTAATCCATCACATCTGACAGAACTGGACCTGTGCAGAACCAACCTGAACATTGGAATGCAGGAGCTCAGAGGGTTCCTCCTATCTCCCCTCTGCAAAATACAGACACTACGGTTAGTCTCCATGTTTTAGTATAGTGCTGATATTTCTTATGGTTGTGCTAAGTTGTGTTGACTCTAAACTGATAACACATGGCTGATATCCTACTTATCCATACTGAAGACCTTAATTTATATATATATATATATATATATATATATATATATATATATATATATATATATATATATATATATATATATTGTGTATACAATCAAATTTTATTTTGTACGGCTTTCATGACATTTCCATTTCTCAAAGTGCAGCAGTGATCAACTGTAAAGAGTGTGGCAGAAAAAACATGGTGCAAAAAAATAAAAAAAACATTCATACGGAAATTCAGAGCATTAAAAATATATGTGGTGCAATTATGCAGTATTTTGGTTTGGTGTTATCAGTGTAATGGAGAGTCTGTGACATGATTTAGAGTTTTCTTAACAGTTCAGCTGTCTGATGGCAGTGGGGAAGAAGCTGTTTCAGGATCTACTGGATCTGCATTGAATGCTGCAAAGCCTCTTCCCAGAGGGCAGCAGGGAGAACAGTCCATGGTGGTGTTTGTCTTGAATGGAGGGAAGAGGAGCCCCCATGTTCTTCTCTGCTGTTCTCTCACTCTCCTCACTTTCTTCCAGTCTGAGGCGCTGCAGCCTCCACACCACACAGTGAGACAGCTGGTCAGAACACTCTCTATGGTGCTTCTGTAGAAGGTGGTCAGGATGGGTGAGGGCAGGTGGGCTCTCCTCATCCTCAACAAGAAGTACATGCGCTTCTGTGCCCTTTTGACCCGTGAGGTGGTTTTTACAGTCCAGGTGAGGGTGTCTGTGATGTCCACCCCCAGGAATTTGGGGCTGCTGACCACCTCTACAACTGAGCTGTTGATGACCAGCCAGTTCTTCCTGAAGTCCAAGATGATCTCCTTCGTCTTCTCCAGGATAAGGCTGTTATCAGTCCACCAGCTGCTCTACCTCCTCTCTGTAGTCCAGGTCATTGTCATCACTGATGAGCCCCACCATCATGGTGTCATCTGCAAACTTCACAATGTGATTGGTTGGACACAGTTATGTGTCATCAGGGTGAACAGAAGGGGGCTTAGGACGCAGCCCTGAGGGGAGCCTGTGCTTAGACTGATGACATCAGAGGTGTTCTGTCTGACTTGGACTGACTGACTGTTGGTGAGGAAGTCTAGCAGCCAATTGCAGAGGGGTGTATTGAAGCCCAGCTGTTCCAGTTTTCCTTTCAGATCAGATGATAATGGTGTTGATATTTATACAACAATGCTTAATGTATCACAAATAATTCAAACAAAAGATCAGATTTAACATTAACAAATTGTTTTCATTTGTCAGAAAGTTCAATGATATTTTTAAATCTTTGCAAACTATAGTTTGAAAATTGCAGAATTTTCTGAAGATGTCTTGGTCCAGGCTTTCAAGGGTTAATCTGCATCCTGTTGAAATCAGCTAAAATATTTTGTTCTTTATTCAGATTGGAGGGCTGCCGTTTGTATGAAACCGAATTAGCTTCTCTGGGCTCAGCTCTGAAGACTAATCCATCCCATCTAACAGAACTGGACCTGAGTGGAACCTACCTGAACACTCGAATGAAGGAGCTCAGGGGGTTTCTCCGCTCTCCCCTCTGCAAACTGCAGACACTGAAGTAAGATATAGTTTTTTTTTTATTCTAATAAGATTACACTGTAAATATCAGTGTGAAGGTAAATCAGTGAGCTTGTTAAGGATCAATAGGCCAGTTGATCAGAGGAGCAGGTAAAGACTCTCAGAAGGACTACAGAGCCTGAAGGTTTGGCTAGCGCAAATCACATTCAAAAAGAGTTATTAATGACAGTTCAAAGTTCAATAACACAGATTTCTTTCCAGAAGCAGTCTAACAATTTTCCCTAACAACTTTTAGTTAATTAAACAGAGTCTGGGTTTGTTCAATACAGAGGGATTGAAAGTGCAGAATGCAGATTATGTAATGTGGGGAAATAAGTAATACCGCAAGATGAGAACAGTAGGTAGGCTGTAAGGTCTGAGGGATTTTAGAGCAATCAACCTGGCGCCATAGTGCCAGCATAGATCACACTGAAGGTTCTGATGTGATAATGTCCATCTACCAATAACATTTCATCTGAACTACATTTGAACGTCTGTGTGGAATTATAATTCAATCGGGCTTCAATTCCTCACCCTACATATGGTTCTCCCCTGCCTACAAAAGGTGTGTACATTGTACTGATGGGTCAGAGGTAGGGCTGAGGGATAGAGCTGTAAAACTTCACCATCTTAGCCGTTCAAATCAGTGTATCATTATGATTCAATTTTAGTTTGATCTGTTTAAAATGAGGACCAGGGAAAAAAATGCATGAATGCAAATTTGAACCCTACGCTGTCATGGTGTGTTTAAAGGCCCGACCCAAAGATGCAGAGAACCACTCAGAGAGCAAGGGAAAGGTTTAACAGGTTTATTGAGGTAGGGTTGAAGGGGGTAGGTCTGGAACTCAGAAAGCTGGTGAACAGGAACTAAAAAGGTCTGGAGAGGATATAACAACTGTTCGTTCAGGGACAGTAGGAATCTTGAATGCCGCTAGTGAGGAACTCTCATTTGGGGGGGGGGGGGGGTTCTTCTCTCACTTTGAATCCAAAATGTGTGGGTTGATCCTGAGAAGAGGGGACTATTTAAAGGGTGGACTGGTAGACCTACTTAGGACCCGGAGGAGCAATGGAACAGACTGTCACTTGAATTTTTGTGAGGGACTTGAACGGCACATGTGGAGGTTTCTCCCCTGCTCAGTGTGAACTCAGTAAACAATCCTTCCAGGGGACGAAGGCCAAGCATCCAGTACACAGGAGGACTTCCAGCCAAAGGCAAAGACAAAAGCAAGGTTAGGCTCAGAGAAACAAAAACTCAGCTAGGCTCAGTGAAACAAAGACTCAGGTTAGACACTGCTAATCTAAGCATGGCTAGAGTACCCAAAACTGGCAAACACTCTGGCGTCAAAGTAGTGACAGTCCACTGCTTAAGTACTCCTCCAGATAATGATCCAAAGAGCCGCAGGTGTGCAAGGAGGACCAACAAGGACAGGGCGCCACCTGGTGATGGAGGGAGAGACAGACACAAAATAGACCACACAAACTGGATTCCTGACATACGCCTTCTTAAACATAACCTTGAACCATTTAAAATAATTCAGTCTTCCTTGCAACCTAAGACAGCGGGGTCCCATGTTGAGACTAAAATAGGTCAGTTTTTCATGTTAGTGAAAATATTTTAATGCCTGAAATTATTACACATATTTTATCTACACAGTATCAAAAATGGTATTGAATATCCAAACTGGTTGCTCACATGCAAATGAGGGTCAACAGCCTAATGGCCGATGGTTAGTGCTCTGATGACCGCTGGATTGTTCCCAGAACGCTGAGTCATGCTCCATAACAGAATTGGAAGAGGAGGACAAAAGGACCCTGGGGTCCTCCATCCCTTTTTAAAGATGGAAAGTATCTCTTCAACAAAATGGCTTCCATTCCACTTGTCTCCAACGTTCCTCCCTCTCCAGGATGAGAACATGTTCATCCCTCAAAGATGAGTGGACATAACTGAACCTTGGACAGATTACATTGCTCTCCGCTCTAGGCCATCCTTTTGGTCAGTGGCTGTTTTTGTTTTTTCCCCCAATGTGAAACTGCTTTCAGTCCTCCTGGAGCTAAACAGTATATCCAATCCTGGGCTATTGGTACCGGGGAACCAGATCTTTGGGGGGAATGGTCTTATATTTAATGTGTTTGGGGCTTTGAATGCCACTGGTATGTCATGTTAAAAAATAAATGCCTTAGTTTGTCCGAAATGCACCAACATACCAAATGACTGATCCGGACTGGATTTGGGTTCTACTGGAGTCCTGCTTGGGTTTCTGCTCTAAGGCCCAACTGGTGTGGGATTTCTGCTTGTCCCTGCTAATCTCAGCAGGTGTTTATTGGAGCAGCAGCATTTTTCCATTAATATTAATGAGAGCTCTTTAACTGGTTCTGTTGGTCTGTTCTAACACCACTACATCTTTCTATACCTTATTCAGATTGATTGGCTGCCAATTGACAGAGATCGGCTGTGCTTGCCTGGTCTCATTTCTAAAATCAAACCCCTCACATCTGGAATACCTTGACCTGAGTAAGAACAACCTGAAGCAGTCAGATGTTCAGCAGCTGCAGGATCTGGTAGAGAGTCCAGACTACAAACTGAAGACTCTGTAAGTAGATGGTTGGAGTGAGTCCAGCTGCTCCACTACAGCTCTGAACAGGACTGAAGTCCTTTCATTGCTTCATCATGGATGTCCTGTATCAATTACTGACATCTAATGGATAGGATGGAATCACTTATTGATCTCCTCTGTTCATCCTTCTTCTCTCTGTAGGTTGTGGAGCTGGTTATCCTAGTAGAAGAGAGAAGCTGATCTGTGTCCTGTTGATCCACAGACGTTGAAGCTGAAGCAGTTTGAGTTTAGAGACTCTAACTGGATCCTGATGATGAACTCTGAGTTTCCAGATTTTTCTGTTCTTATTTTGATCCTGTCTGTCATATAGGTGTTGATATTGTTTTTCTCTTTGGAACAATGAAGATAAAATTCAAACTAAGCTCCTCCAGTTAGTGGCTTCATGTAGGTTTGATCTGAATCTGATCAAACTGTAACTGGGTTGACCTTTTTACTCTCTAATTCATCTTCAGCCTATAATGCAGACATCTGAAATAAAGCTCAATTTTGACGTTTTCAGGCTGCATGTTTGCTTCAATTGTGATGTAGTTTTTTGATGTTTTGATTATATTTTACTAATTTTCTGCAGATGTTCAGGCAGCACTACTCATTTTATCTGTCTTCCTAAATGGCCCAGTGAGAAAAATATGGTTTATCTCAATGAAGAAGTTTTTCTTCACGATTTTTAATCATATCATATTTTCCTTCTTTATGAAGGTCAAATATCAAACTGAGTTAAGAGCAGCTCAGAGACTTTCAGATCTTCTATGGAGAAGCACATTGAATGAAAACTCTATTCACAGGAAATTTGAATTTTCTGTTACGCAAAGAGAGTTTACTCAACCTGTCTGTTACCGTAGTAACAGAGCTATCCTGGGCCGTTTCTCAATATGCGTTCTTGAGCGTTCTTGCGTGCTCGTGTACTCGTGAGACGTCATCAGCCTCAGCCCGAGCACTGTTCCAATTGCAGAGAACGCAAGACCGAAAACGCACCAAATCCCCGGATTTTGTTCTCGCCCCGCCCTCATCATCGAGTACGCATCAGAGCAGACTTCGCCGTTCTTGAGATTGACAGCCGTCCCAGCATGCACCACTGCAGCAGCTTTCAATGGATCACTCCAATGAAAGTTAAAAGTTCTCTTTTCTGTTGCTGTTGTTCAATAAATGTACCTTTTAAGATCATTTGAGGGGAGAATATTATACTTTAAAGCGTCACTATATGGTCCATTTCCTGATTTAATGCGTAATTAAAAAAAAGATTTCCGAAGTTGAGAGGACTGCGGCAATCAGCGGAGCTCCAAAGCTAATGGCAGCCAGGGCTAACCGCAGCGCGTCAGCAGCAGCCCTTTCTTGGCATAGCCAAGTGTAAAGGACCGCTGACCCTGATGGCGATTTTTTTGTTTTATTTGACAAAATTTGTATTTGATTTGTGTTTATCTGACTGTGTCTATTATTATTCCCCCACTAAATGAAAAAAGTTATAATTTATTATTATCTAGAGACCATTGATAAGAGGAGGTGAAATGTTCCAATTGACCCAGATTCATGCTGCGTGCTCCCGTTCTCGCCAAGTCCATCCTTTCCTGTGTTCTTGCCAAGACCGGACTTGACAGAACGCGAGTCCATACTTATGTTCTCATGAATTGAGAAACGGCCCTGTTCAAGAGCAGGTTTTCCTCTGCCTCTACCCTCCTTAAAGCCAACCAATTTGTTTTATTTACTGATTTATTCAGGAGAGTTCTGTCATAGTTTTGTGCGAAGAGTAAAAAGGAAATAGTTCACTTGGTCCATTATACAATAGGTGTTAAAAACACAAACAAAGCATGTCGTTTACACAGGATCCAATCAAAGAATGTCAAGTTGACCTGCCATAATTGACTACCTATAAAGTTACGGATTAATCCATTAGGCAATCTTCTCCTACACAATCTTCCTCTCATTTGCAGCTTTAGCTGTTTCTCTCTCTTTTTAACACATTCTCAAATATTTTTTTATTATCTGTTATAATCTCTAGTTTCAGTGTTTTGAAATAGGCACCTCCTCTTTCCCGATGTCATGGTGACTCGTCCAATCGGAGCTTCAGATAAGGGTTTTCTGGTGGAGAATGACCCGGCCTGTCCTGTGACTTTCCCTACTGTGACTGAGCGATTGGTAAATTGGATGGATGGTTTATCCATGCTAAGCAGTCACACTTAAACCTCTTTTGCTTTGGCCGAAAAAAAACATTTAAATCTGGGAACAAAAAGCTTTTAGTGGCAGTGGGAACAGCTCATTGACACGAGTCTACCCGGGTCAAACGACTCGGCAAGCTCTTATCAGCATGCTGTGAGAACATCAGACCCAGGTCAACCCGTTAATTTACATGATACCATTCAACGAAAAGTACAGATGTCAACACAAACAGCCCCATTAACATCTGTTCTAACAAGCCAAAACAGCTGTGTTTATATTTGATAAACATGTGTTTATATTCGATAAACAACTCCATCAGTGCTGGTAAGAAGGATTAGGTCATTTAAAGGAGTGAAACAATAAAGAATGCTGACTATGCATTTGTTTCCTTACATGATGCTCTCCATTGTTTACTTTCCTGATTTCTGTCACACTGGTGACATCATCAACGCTAACCCAGTTTGATGACGTCACCAGACATGCAGTTTGCCAAGGATGGGTTAGACCCAGCTTTTTTTGCCAATGGGAAGGGAGCCAAAGGCAGATTGTTATCTGATCGACCCAAGTTTGAAAAACCCAGGTGTTACGGCCTGACTCTTAGACCACAACAAATTAAAGGGAAGCCACACCTGGGGATAACTTAAAGTGGGATTTATTTAACAAAAAACATAAATGGTTGGAGAGGAGAGGAAAAGAGAGAAGTAGGTGGCAGAGAAGAACAAGCTGTGCTTCTCCAAGCTGGTCCGGTCTGAGCTGACTTGCTACCAGCTGGGGTTGATCATCTGACTTGGGCTGGAGCGGAGCTTGGGCTGTGAAGCTTGGTTTGGGCCTCCAGGTGAAGGTGAAGATTAATGCTCCTTAAGATGGATCTGACATCAGTCTGGCCAGCTGCCTCCACTTCCAGTCAGCACCAATTAGAAGCTCTACACAGGGATGTTAAGGACTCAGAAAAGGCCTTGCGCCGTAACACAGGTTAACCCGTTAATTTCAGTGGGAAAGAGTGTGTTTGGCTTCCTCTTGAGTTTTTACTGCCTGCTTTAAAATACATGGGGATTAATAGGTTGAACTAGACCTTGAACCTTGTTTGACTGCGAGATAAAGGAGAGAATGAGGAAGTGATAGTCTGATCCCACCTACTTCTCAGTCTGCTTACCTGAACCTCACTGGATCTGGAACCCTGACTGACATTCTCTCCCAGTTTGGTTTGATAGAAAATCACGCTGAGAAGATTCTGCTAGAGATCCTAGATGCTAGAGGTACCAGATCAGGAGGAACTAGTTCTGACTATATTTGGTGGCAGAACAAGGTAAAACATCTGAATCAGGGTGAGTGTTCTCCTTGTTTTCCTCTCAGTGGGTTTTCTCTCTGTGGACTGTAGAGGGAACCAAAACCAGAACTTTTCATTTGAAACTAAGCTACTGGCTTCATCTACCTGTGAATCTGGTCAGGATGTGATTTCCTGTTTTTGACCAAAAAAACAGAGTTTTCTCTGCTTGTTTCTTTTCTACAGACAAAAAACTTATTTTTAAGAAAATATTAGAAAATTGTAAACCACTGTTTTAAAGCTGGAGTTATTCAGTGGTTCTGTTGAACTGGTACCAGTTCTTTTCCTGGTCTACTGCTTCCTTTTTATGTTGTAAGATAACAGATGATGTCAGAAACTTAGAGCCTGTTTTTAGTTGAACAGTTAATCTGAACTGGAATAATTGGTTTCCAGGAGAACCTGATTTTGCTGCTGAAAAAAGCTGAAACAGAAAAATCAAACTTTGTTCTAAAATGGTCTCTGAAATACCAGGAGCTTCCTAGTATTTCCTGGTTTCCTTGCGTTCTGCATGGCTGCAGCAACTGGTCCCCTTTAAGCCTAGTGCTTCCAGTAAGCCTAATCAGAACCACAGAATGACTCTAGGACCCATATTCCACACTAGAAATGTTTTCTTCAATTTATGATTAAAGATGTCCTTCTTTGAAAATTTTTCCTATCCAATCCACCGTGTTTTTTATATAGCACAGAAATGTTTTGAAAGTGCTACACAGTAAAATAAACGTATAATTAATACATGTAATCAGTGATAAAAACCAATAATAAAAAAAAAAGGTTGGAGCTGGTCCTCTGACCTCCGAGGAAGTGCCTGTCCATGGTGTCACCCCTCATGATCCCGTTTGGGTTAATCCTGATGGAAAATGAATTGATGGACATATATCACTATAAAGTACAAAGCAGTAGTCCAGAAGAGATTAAATAAAAGCATACATTAGCTGCTCAAATTAATTAACAGACCAAAAAAGGTTTGATTTTAGTTAAAAGCCGAAGATGATAAAAACTGGACTTTACAACTGCATTAATCTGTTTGTCAAAATTAAAATCATATTTCATAATTACACCAAGGTTGGGGGCTGTAGAACAAAGATACTGCATGAAGGGGGCAAGTTTTTAGCAGGGGATCCATGTGGCCAAATAAAATGACTTCAGGTTTATTTTCATTTAGATTTACAAAGTTATTAGTCAACAAATCTTTAACATCCTTTAAGCAGTTCAGTTGAGGTGTTTGTGGGGATCTGCAATTTTTTTCTGTGGTGGATAAATCTGGCGGTCATCAGCAGTTTTAAGGAAAATTACTTTAAAAAAGTAACTATTTACTACTTTAAAAAGTAACTAAGATAGTAACTCTTTCTACTGCATAGAAAAAGTAACTATGCAGATACTTTTTAAAATGTCAAAGAAGCTTTCTTGTTATTGAAATTTTAAATTTTCAACACTGTAGAGAGCACTTCAGCACGTTTTGGCTCCAGAGAAGCACTTTCTAATACGTTCCTTTTAAAGGAGAGGGCAACCCATAATTTTACATCACTGCCCCGAAATAAGAGAGTTATGTGGTCAAATGTGTGAAAAGCAGCAGTTCGTTCTAAAAGCATTAAAATTGTAGTAGCCTGCATAAGTCCTAAATAATAGGTCATTAATAACCTTTAAAAGTGCAGACCTAGTGCTGTGAAAGGCTTTAAAACCAAATTCAAAAACATCAGAATTGCAACGTGCTTCTAGAAAGGTTAGTAATTTGACAAGTGCACTATTTTCTAAGATAATTGACAGGAAAATACGACTTGAAAAAGGCCTTTAGTTTGATATAACAGAGGAATTGTGTCAATGTTTTTTAAGTAAAGGTTCAACCACAAACTGAGGCACTCTTCCTTATTGCAGACTCCTATTTATGTTGTTTGGGACTGATGAATTAAGAACCAAATCTCCCAGAATTGTTCTAAAGAGCTCAGATGTTAAGGCTGAGTTCCTGTATGAAGATAAATATGTTCCTTTACTCCGACCACCCGCCTATTTCATAGTGCAGGAAGTCCAATCTTTCTACTCATTTAATATGAATACAGTTCATCCATCCATCCATCCATCCATCCATCCATCCATCCATCCATCCATCCATCCATCCATCCATCCATCCATCCATCCCTCAAAGCAAACTTATCAATGTAAGGCAAAACTAAAGAGGACTAGACAAAACTGACAACCTAGGAAATCGCAACAGGAGATCTAACATTAGGAATATAAATGTGTCAGATCAAGTAAAGGTCCTGACGCTATAGGATTTTTATAAAAGCTTATACCACAAATGGTATGATAACTTCACCTCACCAGTCCCCCTGGAAAAAGTGCACTGAATCAGGTAGAATTCTGACATACTGCACCCTATTTTCACCAAGTTCTTAAACTTCAAAGATACAGAAAAGTTATTTGACTTACCAGAAGTAAATATATAATATATAATATGACATATGAGTTAAAAGGAAAATTTTAAGTGTTCACTGACGCTGAATACCTAAAATGTGGTAGAAATTGGGTGGGTAATGTTTTCTACTCTTCCTACTTCACTGAAGCAAGAGTTGTCAGCTTCTCATGAATAAACACCTGAACTTTAAATTAAACTGAGTTCAGAAGGATGAAAATTGCAGATTTTGCTTGTAAACTTTGAAATAAACAGGAACAACACAATGTGAGAATATTTAAAGTATTCAACCTTTGAAAAAATCTGCTGCCCCTTCACAGACATTGTACTGTCTCTGGACTTGGCCATCAACGATGGAGTAAGACCTCCTGAACCCGCAAATTAGCCCTTTGCAGGTTTATTTTGTACATCTTCCTCTTTGATTTATTTTTATGAGTAGTGTGTTGGAATTAAGTTGATACAAATGTGCACAGATGGATGTATATATAAACTCTGTAGTATTCGCTTGCATTCTGTTATTGACTCTTCAGCAATTCCAAATTTAGAGATCACTGAGATCCAGAGGCGTAGCCAGGGAATTTTCATCAGGGTAACCAGGCAATAACTAATGTACACTGAGGGGTGGCTGAAAGCGGATAGGTGCCAGAACCTCAGGGTCGATTTATAATTCAATTTCAATTTAATTCAGTTTATTTACATAGCGCAAATTCACATCAGATGTCATCTCATACATATACACTGTTGAAAATGAACAACCACAACATCTATATTTTCTAAATAAAGACTAACTATACTTTCCTAAAGCCTTTGCTAACAAATGGACGCATATATTTAAACATCCTGCTGTCTAAAGTAAAGATGTAGACAACAAACTTATTTCAAGTTTGAGTTCTGGGATGAAAATCTTAATCATTGTCACTACTTACACTACTTTAAGGGTGGCCATGGCCCCCCCTGGCCCCCCATCAAGCTCTGCCCCTGCTGAGATCTGGAAAAGTATCTGTTAGATCACAGCAATAATTTATGAACTGATCAAATGTTTCCCCATTAGTATGTTTATCTGTGAATAGTTAGAAACTATTCAAGAGTCTTTGTCTCTAATTTTGTTGAAATTTGAAATGTTTAAGTTGGAGCAATTCTGTGCTGTTATGATTGTTTGATCATGAATATTTATTATATTCAAAATAATATTTGATTATTTTTTATTTTAACAAAAGTATCATCAAGAAATATATATTTAAGCTCCACCAGGGCTTTTTTTATTAGGCTGATAGCTTTTAATAATTACTTTTAATGACATGGATTAAAACTAACGTTTAACTAGATTTACCAGAAATGGTAAATCAATAAAGCCTTTGACCATCAAACCTGTTGTGGATTTGCGCCATACCACTAGTAACAACAGTTCATAATTATAACTGATAACTGCACTTCGCGACAATCATTACCAGAATACCAGTAAATCTCAATGTATTATTAAACCATCAACATCGAAGGGATGGTTGGAGCTGTGACCTTTAGACAGCAGATCACTCCCATAAAGAAATAAACACAGATGCACATCTCTTTATCAAATTTATTAAACACAGTCATTCTTCTGTTAGTCAAATATTCTATCTAACAAAACTGTTTGATTAGAACTCACAAAATAATTTAAAAAATAGCTAAAGATTAAGCAGCTGAAATGATTAATCTTGATAGCAGTGATTAACTGTCAATTAAACAGATAATTAAAGTTGTAGCTGCAAAAAGACATAGGAAAATATCATCATGAATGGAAACCATAAAAGCTTTAGGTCCATTTGCACTGGGATGCATGGTTGGAACATACATGCACTAATGATGGTTGCTCCTCTGTTTTCGTTTCAGTATCAAAACCAGGAGAGAAAAAGGAACATTTACAGGACCACAGAGGAGGACAGAGCATCATCTCCAGTACTCCATTGTTTCTCTCTAAATACTGACATGTCTAAAGATCATCCTACAGTCTTCAGTAATGATCCTGGACAACCAGGGCCAAAGTGAGTCATCTTTCGCCAACTGCCATGATCACCTTTTAACATTAGCTGTGAACTTATGGAGGACCAAAACTGACATAATTATAAATAAATGCTGAAGTAAACAATGCTCAATAAGTTCCATAAGGATTTATGTAGCAATATTCTCATTTATTTATTTGTGTATTCATTTTTAATATTTTTTTTATTCAGTTTATTTGTTCATTGATTTGGTTATTTATTTGTTTACTTATTTACTGTTTTATCAAGTCATTAATTCATAAATTTCTTTATTTGGACCTTATTTACCAGGATATCAGTAACAGAAATGTCGTTATGATGGAGGCAAATACCTGTAAAACTTGTCTATAGGTAGAAATTTAAGCCTGAAGACACCACTTCTCATTATTTATGATGAGGCAGAAATGCAGAAATGAATGAATGACTAAAATGATGAATGAAAAATAAAAAACGAATGAATACAAAAATTAAATAATTTAAAATTAAATAATTATAATTTTATTTACCTATTTCATATTATATGTTTCATGTTGCACGATTGTACCATAAAAAATTCCTAGTTGTGAACTCCTTCACTAACAATGGCAATAAACCCGATTCTGATTCTGATTCTAAAGAAATAGCGACATTATTACATAAATTATCAGACTAATCATACCTATTGAGCATTAATTTATTTCTGCATTTATCCTTAATTATTTCAGTTTTGGTCTTCCATATAAGGTGAATGACATTGAAATTTAAGCTGAGAAGTTCAGCTGCAGAAAAGAGGACTTCAGCACATCCTCCATATCCAGGAATGTATTTGATGAGAGGGAAGCTACAGCATCATGCTGCCTCCAGTGCAGAGCTCGATTGAACAATGGCATCATCTGTACACATAGTAGATTGAAAACTGATTTTCAATGAAGGGACACATTGAAAAAGAAACTGTTTTGATCTTGGTTTTGATCACCTTTTGGGTGATGTCAGAGCTTCGGGAAATGCAGCACAACAAATAATAAAAACACAAATAGACTCTGTTCCTCTGATTCATTTTTCTGACTGTTCAAACTTGCTAAGCTATCAGCTTAGCAACAAATGCTGACGTTTCATATCCCTTTTTTGTGCATATGTCTTGGGCGTGTGAGCATGCATGTGGGGGTACCATTAGCAACATAGTTGTTTCACTGTCTCCTGTACCATAGATAAAAAGATAGGTTAGACAGGCAGCAACACAAAACTGCCTCTAGATTTCTTGGCAGGCTTCATGTAGATTCTTTCCAGATCTACATGACGGTTCAGAGACCTAAGTGAGAAAACTGTTCTTTGTTTTCCTTTCAGAGTTTCACACTGGGAGAAACAGGGGAATATCTGGAGGAAGGTGGAAAGGGAAGGAGCAGGGTCTCCGTCGCCCTGCAATGTTAACCATTCAAAACCTCTTCCTGTACAACCCAGTAATTATCCTGACCCAAGAGATCTAAGGTGAGTCATTAACTTCTATAAACATAGTAAAATTCAGTCTGATTTAGCTAACATCTATCAAAGGTTTATGATGTTTAAATTTGAAAAGCTCAGTAGCAGGAAATCATGCCTTAGGATGTCCAACCAGCTCCTATCCTGGCCAGTCAGACTGATTCATCATTTACATAGTGTATCAGTCTGGTAAAGAGCTGGTAGAGCTCAATTTCAAAGGCTGTACTAACAGGGTCAGCCTCATCAGGTTAGAACCAATTAGATAACTATGGATGTGATGAAAAATTCCAAGCATCTCGCTCTGTTTTTGTAATTTTGTAGTCCTCCAAACATGTAGAGCTGTCGAAGAAACTCTCCAGTGAACGATTTATGCCAGTTTATCTAAAGAAATCTGCATTATAAAGTCTGTCTTTATCAACGTTCTTAATTTTCATTGCTCAGCTGTGGTTGCCAGCTTGTTGTTATGCTACCAGAAAAGCGATGCTGCATTATGGGCAATTCAGCCTCTCAGAGTCATGCACTGAAGAATCCCGCCTCCTGTGCTGGGATTGGTCTGGCCAGGTTTATTTATTATTTTTATTTTTTTAGGTTACTTACCTCTCAAGTTTACATTTATTCTTTAGAATTTTGCCTTTGAGAGTTGTTGGCTTTACGTTGATATTTGCAGTTTGCTTTGGATTGTACATCTCTGGGTTGCTTATTCTATCAACCAAATGTATATTTATTCACAAACTTATTGCCTTTAAAAAGGTTGGCCTTTGGAATAAAATGTAAATGATTTAGGAATAACTCTGAGGTTGCTTTTTAAGAAGATTTCATGCTGTGAAAAATATGGAGATCAAATCCAGTTCTAAAAATGTTGTTTCTATGACATTTAAATTAGCACCGATATCGATACCAGTATCAGGCGGAGCCCTGATCCAACACTAAAATGGTGGTATTGGTATCGGCGAGCACCAACAAATAGGGCACGATACCATTTTGAGAACCAAAAGTTTATTCAACTATTGTCAACAATTCCAGGTAGGCAATAAAAAGTTCATGATTTAAGATGAGATTTCTCAGATTTTCTCTCCAACAATTCAGATGTCATCGCCAAGGTACAACTAAACATTAAAACCTTTCTCAGAAGCTCCTTCCAGTTTAGGGCCATATTTTTGTTTTTTAATTTAGGTGTAAAATATATTTATTTGTGTTAGTAGGATTATGCAGGTTAATGTTAGCGGGCTGGATGAGCACATTTTACAACCAGGTAGAAAAAGCCTGTTCAGTTCTAAACTACCTAAAGGCAGAGCAGGCAGGAGATACCAGAATGTTGAGGCTGATCTGGAGTCTTTCTGGACTGATTAAAAAAGAAGTAATTTTTAGCTTTGTCTATTAGTTCTGTGTAGTTTCCAATGCTTGATGAATCAGCACTTCAGTACATATTTCAACAGCTCATGCCACAATGACTAATTTATTTAAAGGATATTTTGCAATATGGGTATTTTTCTCCAATCTTCTGTCCTCCGTCACCAACACCACTGAACCCTTTGCAGAACCCACTCTAACTTCCTTCTTGCTGATGTACTTTGTTAGGATGTCTGTTTCAGCTGAAAGAAAATAAAAACTTTTCAACTTAGTAGGCCTATTTCTATGATGATTAAATGAATAAAAAAGCATGATTTACACTGATCAAGTCAGTATAAATTTATTTTTTAATGAAATATGACAGGCAGCACCATATCAGACCATGACTGTCATGATGGGTCTTAGGTTCTTAGCCCACATGCAGAACACAACGGAGGCTGGGTAAAAGTTTAACAGAGTTTATTGAGTTTGCACAAAAAACACAAGATCATGAACTGGATCAGGAATTGGTCCGGGCTGGTTCACTGAAGTCTGCAGAGATGATAGTTTGATTAGGAAGCAGGCTGATGAGTTATTGATAATTCAAGAGTATACCTTGATTGAGTCCGGGCTTCTCTTTGAGAGAGAGGGAACCGTTGGGTCCAGAGACTGTTTGTTCAGCAGAGTCCAAGAGCAGCTGCAGCGTCTTGCTTCTGACTTAAATGGCAGACCTTGATCAGAGTTTCCAGCTCTTAGTTAGAGCAGCAGGGGAATCCACAGAGGAATCTTCAGGTTTGGCTCACAAGGGCAATCTCGGCAGGTTAAGCTCATCCAGAGCTTCAGGTTAGAGACAGGTTTCCTGTGAGGCAAAAACAAGGGAGAATTAGAATCAGATCTCTCTGAAGAGACAGCTAAGATTCTTCAGGTTCTAGGCTCAGGTCGCTAACCAAACTAGGTCAACACTGCGGCGTCGAAGCAAGGTCTGGCAGCTGGTTATAAAGGGCAGGTCTCTTGATGAGTAGATGCGTCTCAGGTGTGCTGGAAGACTCCAGCTCCAGGAGACCCACGGCGCACTCTGCTGGAGGAAGGTGGTACAGCTCCAGATCCCAACAATGACATGTTTAGAGTTAACGTTGAAACAATAGCGTGATTATTTCTTCTTCTGTCGAAGACAGTGTTGGATAATGAACTTGTTTTAAACACAGCTGTTTTGTTATTGATATATTTTTTTGTGCGAATTAAGCCTAATTTTAAAAGGCAGTATAAACACTTTTGTCTCTATTTCAGGAGTGTGGTAACATGCAGCTAAACATACTAAATACATTGTTCTGTGCATTGTGATTGAAATATCTTTAGTATTACGAAAAGTTACATATAAATGGAGTCTCAATGTTAGTTCTGTTACAATGAAGTCTACACTAATTTCAGTGTTAAATGGAATATGCTTGTGAATTTAAACTACAAAGCTTTTTAAGGGTTGATCCCAATCTGATTTTTTTGGCCCACATGCAACCTGGATCTGATCTTTTCATGGCAGTCTGAACAACACAGATCCGATTTTTTTTCAAAGCGACCTAGGCCACTTGGCTATGTCGTCCTGAATCTTAAACGAATCTGATCTTTTCAAATGCGATCTGTGTTGGAACGGCCATGTCACATTCAGCTGACCTGAACGCCATTAATACCAGTCAGTGGTCAATATTCTGCTTCTTGCTACACAGAACAACAACCATGGCAGATGATGAAGCAGAGAGCAGTATTTATGTTTACCAAATTTAAAAGAATGAGTTTTATGGTTGGAAAAGATCGCTAGATGCGCAACAGCGCTACCATCCATGTTTACTTCTCTAAACACAGCGCATGCTGGCCTGTGACGTCATTGCATCCTCTACTGCGCATGCGGGACACTAAGGTTGTATGAATGCAGTTCACACAGGAGATCACATAAAAGTCACATATATTTAGAAATATGAACGGCAAAGCAAAAAAATCGGATTTCACAAAAAAAAAATCAGAATTGAGCATCAAGGCCTGCAGTGTGAACATAGCCTTAGAAACACACATGTAGAGCCTTAAAGGAATAGTACACCCAAAACATGATTAGCCTTCATTTTCTACTCACCCCCATGCTGAACAACACTCTGGAGTACTTTTTTG